TTATTCTTTTCTTTTATGAAGTGTAGTTTTGATAAGAACATTAGGTGAAAAGGAATTCCGTCATAATTTTTAAATTAGTAAATTAGCTATATCGTTTACTAATTTAGAAATTATTAGATGATAGCTTATCATGTACTTAAATGCTACAAAATACTGCCAAACATATAAAATTTAAGGATCAATTATGCCGCTAGTAAAACGTTCAGTAACTTTTTCCAACAGCATACAAAGATATCATAGAAAATTCCTAATTTACTTTTAAAGACTGGATTCGAATAAAGGGAAATAACAATAACATAAGTTTAAAAACCTTCAGAGTTTTTATGTGTGGTAATACTTTAGCATTATAAAACATTGAACTACAAAAAACATTGTATTTGGTCTGTTGAATATTCACGTTACTGATGGTGGTTGAAACGCTATCAAGGAAACAAATCGAGATACTTTTGTTAAAAAAAATGTTTTTACTGTTTAATTTATTAACTGTTTACAAAGGTATTTAACTGTTTGTGTAAAGTTGTATTTAAAAGGGCACTAAATCCAAATGTCATGAAATCGCGTGATGTAATTTTTGAATGGGCCTCATTAATTTTTTTAAAATAAAACTAAAATTTTCCTACAAATTTTAATCAAAATTAAATTTACTTTAAAAGCTTGTGTCTGTACGTATGAAAAAACATTTCTTTTCTTTTTACTAAATATGTGATTTTAAATGACGTAATCCGAAGTTTCATAAATCATGTTACGCTATTTTAACTTTTGTCTATCACAAAGTAATAAGTACAGCCAAACTCTTGATCTAATTAGACGGTATTCTAACACCGGATAACTGTTCTTAACTAAAAAAATACCGCAATAAAAGTTCTAAATGAAGCGACCCGTTCTTGGGTCCTATGATTCATTCACTGGTCTCACTGTTAGTCACTTGGTGTAGTTCAAACCGTACGCTCTTGTAAATATTTTTGAATCAATATTTACCATGAGATCGAATGTAGTATGCGCGTGAGTTTCGAGGTGTTTACAGTTGTGTTTGTGACTAAGTGTCCGAATAAATTATCGAATATGATTCCAAAAGTGAATGTGAACTTTGATTTCAAAGCCTTACGGAGGTTAATGACGAGGTAGTTTTTTAGTGTTTATTTAGGCAATATGAATTATTTGTACCTAATCTAACAAATTGTTTTTGTCTATAGTTTACACATACTATGTATCTTTATATATGTATAAATAACAGTTATTATTTTATATTTATGTACGAAAATGGTAAGTATATTTATATTATATATAATAAATATATGTATCTTCAGCGATTGAGTTCGTCCGCGTTATTAACGATTATCATAACGATGCTTCAGAGCTTTAGCCAAATTAATAGGCCTCATGAGCTTAACAGAAAGTAGTTTTGACCATATTCTTGGCAACTTTTCACCAATCTGATTTGAGTATGAGCGTATTTGTTGTTAGAATATTAGTAAGTAGTTTTCTAGTTTTTTTTTACTGCCTTGTTGGTGCAGTAGGTAGTGTATGCGACTGCTGTGTTGAGGTCTCGGGTTCGATTCCCGGGTCGGACCAAATGTTCGTATGATCTGCAAATATTTGTTTCGGAGTTTGGGTGATTTCTATGTATAATATATATGTATTTACAAAAAAAAGTATATGAGAATGCTATCAGTCAATCTAGTTTTCATAGTACAAGCTCTGCTTTTTTTGAAACTAAATGGCGTTGTGTGTGTTTAGATGATAGATGTCAGTTGCCGTGCTAGTACAAAATTGGCTGTTGAGTGACTCTCCTTTGTCAGGACCCGGGTTTTATGTGCATCTGTACCTAAATACCGGTAAAATTCACTTATCTAACAACCTGGGTTTCTGTTCTGCTGTTATATTGAATTTGAAATATTGTTTCCATTCCCATGAAATTTGAATTCTTATTCCCTTTGGAATAAATTTATTAAATACTGGGTAAAGCCTACAACCAATACCAATACGGTTTAAGATTATATTATGTACAGTAGTTATGGGTTATTTAACGAACGAACTTCCTTTTTCTTCGTATTCTTCTTAGAGGCCTCCACGGATCTCTAAATTCTAGAAATCTGCTATCATTATCATTCAGTAATTTTGTAATCACTAATACTAACTAATACTACTGTTTGTGTTGCAAGCCTCTAAGCGTATGCTTGTTTGCTCTCTATTTTGTTATTTGTATAAACAATTCAGATGTGATGAACATGTCTTCATTATTCAACATATCCTTATATAGTTATATAATATATTCTTGCTAATATACTACACATATGGGTACAAAGCTGTAATATTTAAGTCCGATTTTCCGCCCCACGACACCACCCATGTATAGCATAAACACGTCCATGGTTTAATTATGAGGAAAATAATGTCATATTCTCTACCTAGGTAGAAATAATATTCGTCCAGTAAATTTTAAGCCTAAAAACAATTAACAGTAATAATATTTTAAAGTAAATTTCTTTACTTTAAAATTATCAAAGTCTTTGACTAGCAGAAGATAATTGTCGATATCCCCGGATATTAGACTAACGTGTCAGCCTTAATTTCGGCCATACCAAAAGCTTTTGTAATAATTTTTATATATATCATATCTAAAATGTGTAATATTGCAATATACTGGCAACTGGATGTTTAGCTGAGCTCTCGTTTTGCGTGTACCCAACTACGAGTATAACCTATACTATACCATGCCTGCCTTACCTAAACGGGAAGTATAGACGCACAGACAATAGGTGTGTAAAATACTATTATGTAATGAATAATTATGATAACATGATTACTAATGTTAATGTGCAATTTAATTAGTTTAAACATATATTATTATCATTGCATTTGCAAGATGAATGTAGTTAGGCTTGAAATAATCGTCACCGTTACATACATTTATAAATGTAATGTAATTATTATTAAATTTGAATAGTTTGTTATATTATTTAACAAATGTTATTTAAAAAATTGGTGCATAACAACCGTTAACATTAGTCAGCTTAAAATTACCCTAACCGGTTAAGCAGTTAGCTTAACCGTCCATATAATAATTAATGTTATTTATTAGACTTTATTTTAGATTTTAAGTAATTGTACACTTATAGTAGATAGTGATAACATTTACTTCATTAATTTAACTATTAATCAAGGAATTACTTAACGTTAATCAAACCCAAGTTGCCAGGGCATTATATATATATGTGTTATATTTAAATTTCAATAAATAAAAACATAGAGCGATTGCTTTCTGATTTTGATTTAAAATTCTAATAGAATGATTTTTTACCTCAACAATATTTGCAAATAAGCACATGGTCAACCTGATGGTAAATCGTGTTATCGATGTTTAAACATTCTCAATATCAGTGTTGTCACTAACTCTACCCCTCCACACCAATATAAACAGTCGTCGTCACCACTGCAAGAAATAGGTACATAGCTACATTATGCAATTTCATAACACTAGACAGTGTGGAGGCATAATAGTTATTGTTTTTTCCTATCCAAAATGGTTTAAAAGTCTATTGTTAGCTATGGAGCAGGTGCCATAGCTGTTTTGCGGTTGACTGACATGCTTGATTAGATTTTGTAAATGTATAGCCGTAAAGCAAGCCATTTTAAGTTACCACGTTTTTATAGGACATTTTAAACATTTAAATTTTGTGACACGATCGAAAAAGTAATGCTCTCTCGGTGCATTAAATCGCGTCTAATCATCCTCATCATCCACAGCCTTTAACAGTCCACTTCTGGACGTAAGCGTGTCCTTAGTAAGGAGGTTGTGGCCTACTAAACCACGCTGGCCAGAGGGGTTGGTTCAATAGATTTCTTAAAGTGATTAGTGAATTTTGTATTATTCATAAAAAATACAGAAAAAAATTACTAATGAACCTAAAATTGAAAAATACCACATTAGCAACGTATATGATTTTTTAAAATTTTAATTACTTTTTTTGCTTTTCGGGCGGAGAGAAATTCAAAAACTCACATCTTAAAAATAGGTTTTAGGTGTTGTTGAGTTATTAATTCTGTAACTAACCCGTCTTTCTTTAATTTATTGAGATATCGAAATCCATTGGCTTAAATGAAATACTCGTATATGTTTGCCATAAAAAACTATTCTTTTCATTTTTTCACTACTATAGCTGCTTTTGTGTCGTAATTAATTACCCAATTGAGCTTCAAGCATCGTGTTCAGATGTGCAACAAAGTCCAAAAGCTTTTGCAAAACTAACAAGTAAGTGTACTGGTTATATTCTTATAAAATGAGTATCTTGTTTCAGTAAATACGCCTTTACTTTTATTTGTACACAATATATTTGAAACGAATGGTGTGACTCCTATAATTATTGCAACATCACAATAATTAAGAATAATAAACACATTATTCTTATAAGGGGAACCGTTAAGGTCTTATCAAAAGTTTTGTATTCACTTCATATTAATGTTTAACTGCTTTTGATCACAAATAACCTGTTTGCTCTGAGATAAATTCCTTATCCTAACTTCGAATACTATGTATTAATCTATACCACTGACAAACTTGATTACAACAGAGTATTGAACAATTTCTCAGAATAAATTATAAGTTGACAAAAAAAAACATTCATTCAATGTCTAATTATACCTTTAGAATACAAGTTTATTTGATGCTCAGTGTTCTAAGTTTGCACCAAGTAAACAAACCAGCGTATACGTACAAGTCACACCTTTCGCGAAACTTATCAATCGATAATAATATGTACTATCGCTGTTTTGCATTTCCTTGCTCTATTTAGCGTATCTTATCGCGCACTATCTTATAACCTGGCGCATATTGAAACAATTACAACGAGTGATGTTAGTAATCGTTCTTGTCTGCTAGGAACTAGTCCACTCTAACACACTGAAGATTTAATGTAATGTATGTGTGATGACAATTTTATTGTATTACGATTTGTTGCGTCCACAACAAGTCCCAATTTGAAAGGCTTAATACAGTAAACATGGGTGGCAGTGACATAACAGTGAAGTGCTGTGGTTATAAGAATAATCTTGATTTGCATTTCAGCGATGTGAGATACAGTGTGAAAAGAAGCTGGATTAAGACAAAGAAGTTTAGCAATAAGATGTTCAGTACTGATAGGTGAGTCGAGTGTATCACCACGTTTTTTTTTACAATACAAATTTATTTTTGTGTGAAAAGCTTCAAATACTACGAATGTGAAGTAAAAATTATATTTTGGTCGTCTTTTATTTATTCTATTAATTGTCATCACATCACGGCCTGACTGACGATCTAGTGGTCCCCAGACCGACCACCGACTACAGTTGTATCTTCTCTTAATTGGAGCTCTGGTATTCCTAATCAGTAAACTATACACTTGCAATGCTGATTAACTCAACCTCTAGTTGAACAATCAACAAGAGGTTGATTGTTCAACTAGAGGATACTAGATACTTACTTGAACATCCTGAACACGGCGGCTTCGATTTTATTAATATATATATATACCGGGGAAGTAACTTCAGCATTTTTATTACAATAAAATAAAATGAAGTAAAATAAAATTAAGTAAGTAAAATGCTGAAGTTACTTCCCCCGTTTAACAAAACGTGATTGCCGATATGGCCTACTTGACATATACAGGTGGGTTACAAAATTCCTACAGATAGCTAACAGAATTGGTGTTCATGAAGCATTAGTTTGATATCTATTTACGACTAGAATTTCAAATGTTGACTCATTTGATAAACACACTTGTTTACGAAAAGTTATTTGTAATTTTGAAAACTACTATTTAAATGATGTAAAGTACCAGTAGGTACTAATGAAGTCGGACATGCCGTTATTGCGGTGGTAAGACCCGTTACGGAGGATTGGCTCGAGAGGCATCACGGGACCCTCTCATACCGGCTGACGCGGGTGATCACCGGGAAAGGATGTTTTGGGGATCACCTGTGTTTGATCCGTAAGGAGCCAACGCCTGGGTGTCACCACTGCATTCTGCAAGCGTGTGCTGCACCGTGGACACGGCGCTTCACACGCTTGCAGAATGCCCGGCGTTGGTTGAACAGAGACCTCGTGGCGGCTATCGGAGAGGGAATTCTCTCGCTTAGTACTATGTTTTCCGGCCATGGTATGGAGCGAGAGCACGTGCAACTCCGCCGCCTCCTTCTGTGAGCAAGTTATGCTTCGAAGAAGACGGCGGAACGGGACCGGGAGAACGACCTCCGTCCTCCATAGGCGTAGGCCTGGGGGTGACAGATGAAGGCCATCTGTCACCGGTGAACGGGAATACCGTGGTTCTCACACACGAGGGGGTCATCTACATGCCGTAAAATGGTCCGGTTACATCGGAGTTCCAGGGATTTCCTTTCTAGGGTGTGCCTGGTTCCCCAGCTACTGGTACCTGAGATGGCGTGCAGTTTTTAGTCGGTTAGAGTCCGACATAACCACCGGCTTAAAACATTCTTATTTTATTATTCACCGTTTCTCAAGGTATTAAAACAAATATTTGTAGTAAAAAAACCACTTTAAATTGAAATATATAAACATGGTTAATGAAAAAAGCACGTTCATGAACGCTTACCGCACTTAAAACCTCACTCAAGTTCGCTCAAAGGAAAAATTTGTAGATAATTTAACCTACAAATTTGGCAAAAAAATGTATCTCATTATCAATTGTATACCCCCTCAAAAAACTAAACCCATTCGGTAAAAATATGACCATTTTAATATCAGAGTGAGGGCGTTACAAACACTCAATAGGTATTTACACTTGACACACATGCTTTAAAAAACAGTATAAAACTAAAGTCATATTATTAATACATGATTCATGCACTATCGTCGCTCAAATATCAACTACACGACAATTTTTATATGCCGTTAAAATACAACGTACGTATGTGTTTATTTTACAGTTGATTTTACACAGTTCAATGTATTAGTTTAGAAAGAAGTTCTTTTGTTCACTTTCTTGTGCCTTTAGAAAATGCCTAATAAATATAACTACTGGCAAATATCGTGGAGAGTAATCGATATTTTATTATAACTGTAATACTTGTCTTTAACTTTATGGATAGGGGTAAATTTATTTATTTTAATTTTATTTTATTCTTTTTGCACAAACAACAATTCATTGTACAATGGGGGGACTTTAAAGCCACAGACATTTCCTCCAGTCTACCTATGGGTGGTGGGGAAATGTCTGAGTAGTAATTATGCGCCTTCCACGATAGAGGTTCATATTTGATTGCATAGTGACACACTAACCCAAATACCTAAAATTGTATACTCTTTATATTATTGGCTAATATTAAAATTTGTTTTAATAGCGCATTAAATTTTTGATTTTATTTTCCCTTTGTTTAGATGTCATAATGTCACTTCTTCTCTTTTCAATAGAAAGGAAAAGAAGTGACCCACTCATTTCTCAACCATCTTTTTTATAATAATTATTTTTAAATTAAACTAACTCAAGACAAGCTATAAAATATCAAACTACTGAAGTAGGAGTAATTATCGTGATCGTTCTTACGTGGAGCGCATAGAATATAAATTAAATTTTGGGTTTTGTTTGTTCCCTATCTATCCTATCTGTTTGTCTAAAAAAATCTTCTTTCAAACTACTGTCTTTTTTTTTTTTAAAAATACATTCGAAAAGTTGTCGATACAGGGGCCAATGGTATTGAAAATTGAACCAAAAGGGTCCACAAAAATATTTTAAATTTAAACACAAATCTTGTAATAGGACTCGTGGTTGAGTATTTAATTTAATGACCTATTCCAATTTTTTTTTTCTGGAAACCCCAACCCTACTAGTTTATTGTGTATTTCTAGCTGTCTTATGATTTCCTTTTATTTTTATTCTTTCTGGTCCTTTTATAATATGTGTGATCTTTTTTGTGGCCCCAAATTGGGGTTAAGGGCCTTTAAAACAGTCCCCCCGGGGGGGAAAAAAAAAAAACGAACTTCCGATTAAGGATATTAGTAAAAATTTTTAAAAAATCAAAAAAAAACAAAAAAAACAACCAAAAAAAAAACCCAAAAGAGCAAAAAAAAAAAAAGGAAAAAAAAAATCCCCCGGAAAAAAAAAAAGCTTTATGTTTTCAGGGAAATTTCCTTTTTTTGCCTTACTTCCTTTTAAACCTATATTACTTATTAAAATTCACATTTCCTACACATTTTTGTCCGGGTTTTGGGAAATATTTGTGATCTGTTACAATTTATTTAAATTAGTCACTGCCCCTTTATCGTGTATGTATATTTTATATGTAGTAAAATTTTAAAACGTTTAGTAAACTATCAGTAAGAAAAAAACGAACAAAAAAAAAAAATTATTAAATTTAAAATTACGCAGTAGAAGTACCTATAGAGCACAAAAATTCAGTAAAAAAAGAAAAGAATATTTTCTTTTCTTTTTTTACTGAATTTTTACACACTTTAAATGAAACAGATATAAACGCTGCTATAACTATTTATAATATGTTTTTTAAATGCCTGGTTGTGATATCATTCTTGTGAATCTGATGGCGGGCTTTTCTAAGCACCCGGCCACAATTCTTCTCCCAAATGACCCCAGCAAAGACTGTACCATTGTATATAATCTTTTGCCCCGTCCGGACTTTATTGAATTGGGACCATACAAAAATAGATCTTAGTGTGCCCCTTTAAATTTTTTGTTTATCAATTTTATGTCTATCATTAACCATTCAAACCATTTGCAAGATCGTAGTAAAAATACCTTGCGTTCGATTCAGAGAGGCTACTCACTTACTAGGGAAGTGTCTCGATACCTAACGGCCGGAGCATAACACGTCATTTCTTTGTCCCGCATATTATTACAGAAGTACTCTATTTGCCCATATATCTCAAATAAGCTAATCAAATATCGATTTAAATCGTCCGCAAGTATGAAGATAAGGGTTCCTCTTTAGTACGTGTTAGCTTTTATGTATGTTTATAAAGTAAATATGTTTTTACTTTGGCCTTGACATTAATTAAATAAACTGTAAATTATGTAAGACTGTTATGAGTTTGTATTATCAATTAAAACTTTTCCCCAGACATACTAAACATAATTAAAACTATGATAAATAATCTACGCGTCGGCCTGACGTTTCTGCTTCCCTTGAAATACAGTTAAACCCCTATATCAATCGCTATTGAGTTAGGTGTGCAAGAATGCGAAAAGTGTAGAACATTCTTAGAACATTTCATTAGAAATAAAATATAAAATATATATAAAATATATACTACTATATACAAATATTACTACCAACTTGTTATTACAGTATAAATTACTATTTAAGTGACATGATACTATACCTTACTGCCCAATTAATTGCCAAATTATAGTATTTGTTAATATTGTATTGTATATAAAAAGACTTTTGCATTGTGTTCTAAATACCTGCCAAATTGTAGAATAAAAAAGTCCTACAAAATTTTAACCCACATGGTATTTACTACGTTTATGATCTAAGAGGTGTGTTTTTTCATAAAAACTAATAATCGCCGGACTTATCACAGATTTAGAGATAAGCTTTCCTTTTTTCTATCAAACGTATTACTTTATGATGCGTAATAATACCTAAGGAGACTAGATGCTGTTAATAGACACATGTATTTCTAAAGATAAACATACTATTTAATATCCAGGTAGTCTACAACCTAGTATTGAATAGGTAAATTACTTCTACTTCTTTCTGCTGGATATGCCCCGTATATGCTAGATGTAAGTTATTTTAAATCTTTCTTGAGGCGTTCTATTTTAATCCACAAACTAGCGTTACAATCTATTTTACTTTTATATATACTTTGTAAATATACTTTTTCACTCCTAATGCACATATGACGGATTTGCTGTAGTTAGGGTTAGTACCTAGTCTATCTTAAGGTATTATTAGACGAATCACCGAGATCAATAATCAGCGAGCACCGAAAATGCCTGAAACATTTCCGACACTTCAGTTGCGTGTCGACATCTCACGTCTTTTTTATTATTTCATATAATATTTTTAGCAAACGCCTACCAAAAAGCTGAAAAGGTACTTCGCTACTACCGCACCAGGGTCCATAGCCGTACACGACCCGTTTTGTTTCGCTTTTTTGATCTGCGCGTTTTTACTACTAACAATAGGCCATTAATATGTTTTCGAGTGTTAACCTAGCTAGCTTATAAGCAAATGTTTAACCGCTCTAAGAGCCATCAGCCTCATTTTACTAATCGTTGAAGGATTTTTGTCAGTCGATGGTATTTCAAAATTGTCTATTTGTAAACAAGTTCAGTTGTATCTAAATAATCTTACTCATAAGCAAGGTATTCGACTAATTATAGACTGATTCAACTGCTATCTACTTAATTGCAGACTAGTGTAGTTCTCATGAAAAAATACATATAATGAGCAAGTATTACGCCTGAAAATCATTGTACCGTATTTTTGACATTGCCCCACGCTCTTAAGTATATATATAGTCCACTTAACGGTCGGACCCCTAAAAAATAATAATGTAGTTTGACTGTTGACAACGAATTCCACTCGTGCTTGCCTTAATACTTACAGCACGGCAATTTAAAACTTGTCGCTGTAATTTTACAGGTCGAGCGTTTTAGTTTGTAGAAACTGTCTTCATATGCGTGTTCGATGAGCCGCTACTTTGCTAACGTCAAGGACGCATTATAGCATTTTTTAATTATCTGACATTAAATTAATATCAATTGTAGCATTCTTTCCTCACCGTTGAACAGGACTTCTATTACTAAGTAATCATAGCCCAGTTTCTTAGCTTAATCACATACTATGTCAATATCGCATATATGAGAACCTTGTCAAATAACAACAGATAAATTTGTGTCTCTAATAAAGCAGCATAAAACTCGCTTTTTCTTTCTACTAGATCATTAATGTACTTAGCCTATATACGACTTCTTATTTATAGTAAACGGTTAGCATAAATCAATATAAGTCATGATTACCGGATAAAATGGATTTAGCATACTTGGTCCGGGAAATTCACAGCAATTGTCACGGCAGTCGTGGCCGAGCGGTTAAGGAGTCTGGACTAGAAATCAGATTCCCTATGGGAAGCGTAGGTTCGAATCCTACCGATGCGAATACTTTTTGTAATATTTGTTTTGTTTGTTACAGTTTGCGGAGAGGAGCAGGGCCCAAATGTCAGGACGACAATGGAATACGCCACTACATCCCGCTGTTAAATTTTTGGCCACAGGTAATTTTTGTGTTTATTTATTAAAATAAATTACTGTGCCATTCATGAAAACTTATTTAATTAAATTACATTTAATTTAATAATTACAACACATAATTTGCCTGTACAAAATATATGTTAGTTTTTAAAGAAAATCGTTATCTTCCGGTATCTATGACATTCAGACATGAAAAAAAATTGGTTCTACTTCGTCGCTTACTGGTCGACGGTAGTAAACTAATATTATAAGATCCGGGCTGCAGAATCAAATGCACTCATCGAGTATGTGCTAAAACCGATGATTATGATTAGGAGATATAGACTACTAGTTAGATAGTAGGTGGGTATAGTTCATCGACGACACCCACTCTAACTTTCTCCCCCCTTCGACTATCTACCTAAGAAGCGCATTTCTTTTCCTTCTATGTTCCTCTCATCCGAGCTCTCGTTTCCATACAACCTCTCTTCTCCTTACCTAGCAATGTCCAGCGCCACACTATTAAAGGTGTGATGTACTACATTAGATGCAGTAGGATGACATGCTGTCAAGACTAAGTCAATCTCCCACTCCTCCACAACACACACTTATGCTGACGGCCATGCACCCTCCGCCTTATACATTGTGTCACTTATATTAGAGGCCAAGTCCATAATAACTTGATTTTTGGGAAAACTTCCGTTTATTGTTTTTTAAATCAAATATCGTCCATTTCACGGCAATAGATATAAAGACTAAGCCAGTATAAACATGATTTTGAGACATTTGTAGGTTATAAACGTACGTTTTATATTTATCTATCAAATTAAAGTTTTTTTTTTTCTGTTTATACGATATACGGTTGACTAATTGAATCTGGCCGCAAATAAGGGTTGCGGGTGTTAAAGATGGTAAATATTTAAGCTAGAGTGAAAGAGAGTATTACGCTTCTACTCTCTCACTCTAGTATAGTCAGACGAGAGATCAGCGATTGCCAGCTGTACGACGCTTTAAAGCCTGCGTATACGTGAATCTAGTGTTCCTCAACTCATAGATTACCCTCTAATAGGATTTACCTGGTTATATAGGTTGCCTGTACTAGTGTTAGTTTCATATTCATAATAAAATAAAAAAGGTTTTCAGCTGTTTTTGGCACCTTCCTTCTCAAGAACGTGGTTTAAACATTGATAGTGCAGAGGGACCGTCTTTTTAGTATTCAATCGCGTTAATATAACATATTAAATCCTCTTTCACATATATAAATTTAAGTGGTACCACGTCAAACAATTTTTTCGTTCACGGTTAAATAGTCCTCCCGACCGTCAGTCGCAAAAAGCCCCCACATATACAAAGAACTGAAAACTTTTCAGTCAATTTTTTAGTGTCTGTTTAATAAACCATATACTACCTAAGTATCTGATAATTTTAGATTCAACCAGCTTTTTTTTTTAAAATAAAAAATACTGATGTCTTATTCGGAAATTTTTTTGATGTGCCGTAAAAATTTAGTTCCCTACTATTTACTAAACACATTCAACATTTTTCATTTATTTTTCGTGTGTTTTAAATTTTCGTGTTACAATTTAGTTAAAGTATAAATTTAAAAAAGGAGGGAACTGTACACAAAGTAAGCCAGATAATTTACTACATAAGTAATTTTAAAAATTTTCGGATTATTACAACTATTTAAGCCTTTTTTGTCTTAGAGTGTTAAAAATTTTGTAGAATCAATAAACCAATTGATACAAATGTAATGTTATAAATATTGTAAAAAAGACATGTTTATTTGGACAAAAAAACTCACAACCGATTACAAAACACATCATACCCCCATACAAATACTTTCGCTGAGCGGTAATCGAACAGCGACCCTGACTTCTAATGCTTTTTATTTCGTTCGATAGAATGATTTTCTAAGTTAAGTTTTTTAACCAAGTCGCGTTTTCTTAGTATTCTTTAAATTTTTTTTTTATTTCATTCATGTAATTAATTTTCTCAGTTGGGACGATAAGATATCCGTCTATGACTTAAAGAAATGCAAAATGTAAATAAAAAATCTTTAACATAATTATGTAGTCTCGAAATAAAAAAAGAATAGATCATCAAAGTCACTATCTACATTTTGTATAAAACCCCCAAATGTTACTTTCCCCCAACAATAAAAATTGTGTGTATTTTGACCAAACGGCAAGCGCCCCCAAATTCCTTTTTCGGGGAAAACGGGGCTATGTTCCTTTCTAAACATTGTTTTTGGGTAATTGAAAACTGAAAAAGAAACAAGAAAATTTTAAGTCTACTTTATTTTGTAAAATGTGTGCATAAACTTATTGCGGATTTATTGCGACGAAAGAAACATCCAAACATTTTAGTTTTTCTTCTTGTTCTCACTAGATGTGGTTTGTTACATTTGAGTAAACTAAAGTAAAAACGTTTAAAAATCCGTTTTACTAGAAAGACATTTTTTTATACAAAAATAGTTCGGGCAAAACATTTGTCTTAGGCACTTCCATATCAGCGGTTGATTATTTTAAATTAAAAAACGGTTTCAGAAAAATTGCGTAATTGTTTTTCTGCCTATTTAATTACATATTTTATTTGCGACTTAGCAAAGAAATCGTTTTTTTTAAGAATTGGGTTTATTTTTTGTACTTTACTTTAATAATCAGCTATTGTATTTCTAGATTACAAAATTAAAACGCTATCATTCTACTTTCAAAGAATATTCTTTTATTGTTGTGTTTTTGGAAAAAGTTTGGGTTGCTGACTTTTTTCGCCCTTTTTTAAAACTTATATACTAAAGACAAATTTAGCCGGATGTGCAATTGAATAAACTAGTTTAGTATGGAACATAATTTTTGAGGTTAGGGGGGTGTACCTTTTTTTTTTATTATATGTAAAAATAGCTGTTTGGTCATTTTTTTCTGTGGCACTTTGGGGTTTGGTTTAAAGGAAACAAAACAAAATTTTAAGCAGAAAATAGAGATAAAACCAATTTTTGAAGTGGGTTGTATATTGTCAATATAACTAAGTTAAGTTTGTACCAGTACAAACTTAACATATTTATAGATATAGGGAACTGTTTTAAAGGTTAGATATTTATAATACATTTAGAGACATTAACACTACTTCGTCCGAAACATACTACTCTGATAAAATAATCTACTGATTATTTTATGAAATATAAGTTACTACTTCTTGCAGCACTGGGATCTTCAACTATATTTTCTTTCTTAGAGACATCGTTCACACGCTTCTGGAGATGGGCGCGTCCCCATGCACGGTGGACAAGAAGGGGGCAACTCCCTTACACTTGGCCGCTTTCAAGGGCGACGCGGAAGCAGTCGGCATGCTCCTCGAACATCACAACCCTCCCGTCAACGTCGACCAGCTGGTGAGAGCTTTAATACTGTAAAATTCTTTAAATTTCTATAGTTTAGACAGAATTGAGCTATTAGTAACAACTCGAAACATGGTAGAACGTCGTGTGATAAATAAGGCAAAAAGTTGCTGGATTTCTTATCATAAGGCTCAACTATTTGAAAACTGGCGGTTATAGACACACACACCGACAGATTTATATTGACATAGCTACCTTCTGTTAGGGTGACTTTACGTGTGTTCATTTATAATTTTGAATAATTATATTAAAATAAACAATATACCTTTTTAAATAGTTGGTAACCAATTTCACAAAATGAAGTACCTATTTGAATTTGTAACAAACATCCATACATACATCCAAGCGTTAAACTACGTATTTAAGTTGGGTCAGACTAAGAGCTCGCGTATGGCTAAAACCGGTCTGCAAATATTTCCAAGGGCATCGACATTCTGTGATAAGTAGTGAAGATAAGTTTACCTGAAATAAAATAGGTGTTTTATATCTATTAATAAGATATTGATGGTTAAGATTGTAATCAAATGCTTTTGTCACCTGTATTTATAAATACACATCAACTTTATTACTGCTTTAGTATTTTGACCTGTAGTTTTTTTGTATTTTCACAACATTTTTGTGAAATATCACGTTTCAAAAGAAAAAACATATTCATTTTTACAAAAAACCAGGCAGATTAAAATTAATGAATTTTTAAAATCTAATTCTGGAGTTAAATAATTAGTTAAAAAAGAAAAACACACGATCTAAAATTCATGAACTTTTTTTTTTAAAATTTTAGTTTTTTGGGTTTCATGTCCCGGATATGTCCAAAATTGTGGTAAAACTAACTTAAATGATAGACACCGAGTTCTCTAGGTTTATTTCCTTTATTTAACGCTTCTTAGTTTTACATTGCATGAGGTGCGGGGTGCACGAGGTGGATTTAAAGCCGCATATTGTTATATTATCATAGGAAAACTTTGATTGATTCCGTGAGAGATACGACAGTGGCAAGCGTATGAGAACATAATTTGAGGTATTTGCCATTTGAGTTATCGTAATAAACGCAGTGACCGCGTGGTCCGACTGATCGGACCTTTTTCGGTCTTGGCCATAAAAAAGGTTAAACAAAAATTTCATAAATAAGTATTAAAAAAAAATTCAGACAGTTTATTCGCTATAGAAACTACTCATACCTAAATTCACAATATTTTTTTTATTCATTGATAGAATGAGTACTAAAGTTTTGAGTACACTGTGCTTTTAAAGTTTAATCTGTCATAAATTTTAAATATAAATCAAATTAAGCAATATCCGTGTAAAGGTTGTCTGTAAGAGATCACCGTGAGCGATAAGACCGCCTATTGTATTACTAAAATGTAAATGTCCAATCCTTGTCTGTACAATATATACTGTATTGGTGTACAATAAAGATGTATAATAAATAATGTCGATTATATAGAATAGTTTTTGAACACAGATAAACGTACTTTTTTACTAAACTTACGTTTCATGTGTAGAATTACACTGAACGGCAATTGAATCCGCACCTCCCCATACCAGAGGTCGTCGAATTGACTACAATCCTTGTTTCAGACACATGACGGTGACTCGGCGCTCCTCATCGCTGCTCAATTCGGTTTCACAAGCGTTGTCTCACAGCTGATTGCAAGAGGAGCCGATGTCACTATCAAGAATGTCACGGTGACAGCGCGCTCGACTTGGCTGCGCATTATGGAAAGTGAGTTACTCAATCTCAATTCAATTTTAAAGGAGCAGATTGATCGTAAGGGTGACTAAATATTTGTATTAAAAAGTGGGTAAATTCTTTATTTTCAACACAAAATATGAATGCAGGTGCAGGTCACATTTTATATCCGAATATGTAGGATAAAAAATGGTCAAAAGATATAAACTGAATTAACATAAAAGGAACCTAAATATGGCAACGAGTATGTAAATACTTCACCCAGGATCATCTTCCAAACTTCTTTATGCGAAAGGTGTTGTTAATAATTTTATTTGATTAGGTTTTCTAAAGTTTTGGAATTCAAAGTGGCTTCAGGACAATTTCGTGGTCGTCCCCTGTAGTTTATATTTTGATAACTAAAGTTTATTATAATATGTATAAAACCCTGAAATTTAAAAAATAGCTTTAATGACATTTTAAGATTCTAATAGAGTTTTGAACTAGTTTCTTATAATTTGCTTTTGACTGGTTACTACTTGGTATTTATCTGGGTCATTACAGTAATAGGAGTTGTACCAGTCACTTGAAACATCGTCTTGAAACTTGAGAAGTTCTTTGAAAAATAGGAATACTTGTTACACATCTTTTATTATAAAACGAATAAAGAGAGATTCTAAAATAAATCAAGAACCCAGAATGTGTTAAAAAGTCTACCTAAAAAGAAAAAAACTTTGCGACTTTTCCGTTTGTCTAGTGTTTAGGAATCCTGAGTGCTTAGGACAAATAGGTAATTGTGAGATGAGCAGGATCTATTCTGTGTGTTAGGAATAAGTGAATTTATCAGCGTCCTGGTTACCGTAATACAGGCTCTGCTTAATTATGGATCAGGCGACCGTGTATGAGATGTGTCACTTTGTAAAAAAATATGAAAATAATATATTATAAACCCTGTGTCATTGCTACAACTGAGACGAATGTAATGGCCATAATAATGTAGAAAATCAATCGTTTTTGAATATTTAAATAAACCTCGGTGTTAAGTTATAAATATCAAGGACGCACTTAGGTATGGATATTTAGCAATCACCGAAGCGGATGACTCTTTTATATTCTGTCCATGAGTGTTGAGGTGCACTTCCATGTCTAGTTTTAAATAGGCAATTTGCATACATATCCTCATCGTTTCTTTTTATCGTTCACGGGAACCACATAAATATTTAAATGGCTCTGCCCGCCTGCATTCTTTGCGTAAATAACGTTCCCCAAAGCGCTGAGTGTTTAGGTTAAGGACTGGGTATTCTCGCTGAGATTACTCCTCGCACTATGTTTTTTGTAGTGTGCCAAGTGTTGAAATGGCCAGACCATGTCATTTAAACTACCTTGACAGAACAACACGTAATCTATATTTAAGCAAGTCTGATGCCCGTGATCATGATATTCGTAAGTTATCGAAGCTTGAAAAAGAAACGCGATTCTCGATGTTTCTACTGCCTTTTTTTCTTTGTGTGTGTGCATTTTGTGATTTTAGTAAATTTAAAAAAACTGAATTTGTTGTAATCAAGGCTAACCCCATCGATATTAAAAAATATATCATCTCTTAATCCTAATGTGTCGATTACCGATATTATGAATCCTTTGCGTCAACGTACCGGTCGGTCTCTTGAAAACATTGCTGCTGTAAACGAGTGTCGCCGAAAACTCGAAAACATCAATTCGGCATCGTTCTCAACCACTTCAAATTTCACGAAGCACTACGCAGCAAAATTTGACAAAAGACCTCCACCTTCATGCGTACAAGATTCAGCTAACTCAGGAGCTCAAACCAGCAGACCATGGGACACGCCGGCAATTCGTTTAATGGATAATGGAGCAAAGTGAAGTCGAATTTTTCGAAAATAGTGATCTTCTCCGATGAATCGCCATTCTATCTGAGTGGCTTAGAAAATACTCATGCAATCCATGAGGAACATATGCACATACAACGAGCAACGAGTCTGGTGCGGCCGAAATTGCAGTGACTGTGAACGGCATTCACTACAGGAATACGAGTATGATAACGGAGTTCTTGTGGTTTCAGCAGGACGGCGCATGGAACAATCGACTTATTGCCGCATCGATTTCCAGAACACATTATCTCACGAAATTCTGATGTTAACTGGTCACCAAGATCGTGCGATTTAACGCCGTGTGATTTTTTCTTTGGGGTTTTGTGAAATCTCGGGTTTATGCGAATATACCAGAAACAATTCCTGAGCTCAAATCAGAGATCAACGCGTCATCGGTGAGATACAGCCACATCTCTGTGTAAAAGTAATATAAATTTTCATGAGAAGAGTAATAGCCTGTCATCAGAGCTGTTAAATAAGATATATTTTATTCCATGCTTAATCGGAACATGTCTTCTTTATAATCTAATAAAAATACCACAACTCTTTTATAAAATATGTTTTTATTTTGAAATGAAAAGTGCACTCTTACTGAGGCACTCTTCATATCGTGTTAAATTTTGAGCTCAATCGGTGCAGTTTTTGAAGTGTACACAAACCAACTAAACATTTTTTAAATGTATCTATAGATTTATGAGAATTTGTACTCTTACCTCAAAATGATTTAAACAAAAACAGTTTAAGTATAAACTTCAGTGTCCTAATTGTTAACATTGCAGAAGCGAATCAATTCATAAACAAATTAATAATGCAAATTAACCGCCAAACAAAAGTGTTTTTAGTATTTAAGGAGACCATTAATATTGGAAAAATAGGTACTCATTTACATCGTCGAATTGAACTCCGGTAACCTCACGCACTCTGTGAAAAGTAACGAAAGAATTGATTAACACCCGTTTTCTGTAAGGCTGCGGTATCACTGCGGTCGAGCTGGTCCGTTTGTGCCGTAGCATGACTCCTGCGGCTAACTTACGACCGATACGACCTACAAGAAAAGAGCGTACTCCTTCCTAAAAGGCCGGCAACGCGTTTGTAACTCCCGAGTTGCAGGCGTTCATGGATGGCGATAATCACTTTCCACCAGGTGACGCCTCTGCTCATCTGCCGCCCTCGTACATAAAAAACTATAATATTTAAAAAAATATCGGTTAAAATATCTTTTTTTTTGTCACAGGTACTCGGTTGTGAGACATCTGCTGCACGTCAGACCTCAGCTGGTAGATCAGTACATGAATAGAAATATGGAATACACTTCGACGCCGTTGCATCGAGCCAGTATGAACGGGCGAAAGTAAGTAAAATACTTTTTTCTCTCATGTAATACGAGGCCTGCTATTTATGTATCCGGAATAACAAAGTGAAACAAACATATAGCATTTATTATAGTATTATTGCTTTTCAAAATATTCGCCGTGATGATCGATACACTTTTGCATACGTATGAACCTTTTCGCAGCACTTTTTCCATTCTGATTGTGGTGTCTCCAAAACGTGCATTTTGAACGTATGCACAGCCTCTTCACGGCTCGAAAAACGTTGACCACGTAATTTATTATTCAAGGTTGGGAATAAAAAGAAGTCGTTAGGGGCCAAGTCAGGACTGTACGGCGGATGACCCTTAAATTCGATTTTTTGATCTTCCAAATACTCAGTCTTTTCGTCCGATGTGTGGCAGCTAGCATTATCATGATGAAGAATTCTGCGTTGTCGGTTATTCTTTCTTATTTCTTCAAAGACTTCTGGCAAACAAATGGTTGTGTACAATTTAGAATTAACCATTTTACGATACTCTAGTGGCACTGTAGCCACATGTCGATTTATTCCAAAAAAAACAAGCGACAATTTGCTTCAAAGTGCTTTTGTTGGGAACGAATGACTTTTGGGTTCGGCTCAACTTGGAACACCCAAACCGTGGGTTGTTATTTAGTTTCAGGATCATACGCATATATCCAAGATTCATCACCTGTGTAGATATTATAGACAGCTTTGACGCACCCTGATTGTAATTTTGTAACATTTATTACACCAATGGACACGAGCCCGTTTCTGGTTAATTCTCAAGTTGAGCGAAATCCAACGTGAATAATTTTTTTTGACAGCTATATGTTCGTGTAATGTTTTGTATATACATACTTATTCCCAGAGACGCCTATATCTCGCGATATGTAACATGACGATCTTGCATTATTAGTTCCCACCCAGCATCAATATTTTGAGGCACAACACCCGATTTAGGGCAATCTTCTTTAAATTCGTCCATGAGCACAGACCGCTCACGATTAAATTTATTAAACCAGTGATACACAGTTGTTTTTGATGGTGCTTCATCCCCAAAAGTCAATTGATCATCAAGTCAGGTGAATTGATCGATGCACTGTTTTTGAGTTAGCCCTCGCCGAAAATCGTAATAAATCATAGCACGAAAATCTTCACGAGTTAAATCCATAGTGATAAAGACACGCAATTTTCAAACTACTTTTTAGTTTCTACATGAAACAACTTGTATTCTTCATCCAAAGAGTTCCGTTTTTAAATGTTATAATTACTTTTTTAATATTTTTCTGAAACAGGCCAGTTCCGGATACATAAATAGCAGCCCTCGTATTATCAGTTATCTATGTAGTTATAAATATACATACATACATTATTAAAAGATAAATATAGGAAGTCTAAAAGTGGATGCATCTTTTCTAGACCCAGGGAAATTTAATATTTCACTTTACAGACAGTATATATAGACTTCACTTAAAAAGCTATCAAACAGCTTTTTAAGTCCATATCTTTTTTTTAAATGCAATTGAAATTAGCTATAACACAATTATATTTGTATTTACAGTGCCCGTTTGGATTTGTGGGTTTTTAGTGTAAGCTACCCGATGAAAAAAATGTGCATCACAAAACTAGTTGTCCATCACAAGACCGTCGATCATCATCGATTGATAGTGGTATTATATATAACAACATAATATCACGTATGTCTTGCAAGTGTGCATAGTAAATCGTCTGTCTTTGCGTACCTTTTGAGAATGAATTAACATACATGCTTAAAGAGTTGTAGTGATGTAATCTTTCTTTCTTTTTAATAAAAGACAACTCCCGCATTAGGAATATATCCTGTGTCGCAGGGGACTTTACAAACATACATGAAACGGACACAAAGAACACCCAGTCTCATAACAACAATTTGTGGATCATACAAATTGTCGTCCCATGTGCGGTTTGAAACTACAACACTCGGCGTAGTAGGAAGCGGCGTGGCGATCGCTTAAACCACTACGCCATCCGTGCGGTAATGGCTTAGGCGTAAGTCTTGAGACCCAATGATCTTTTAACTTAAATTCGTTCCAAACACATGCATATACTTAGCAGTAGAGGTTGATATTCTTATAGTAACGTTTGAGCCACGTTACAAGTATACTTGTCTAACTAAACTCAAACTTAAGATTGAAATGAGTCATCTCATTTGCTCTAATTATACACCGGCTAAATACAAAACAGCCCACATCACCCAAAGGTTGACTGGAAGAAAATGCCTATCGCATTAAGTCCGCCTTATGCAATGTATTTTTAAGCTTTTAACTATTGTTACACCACAAACTGTTAATTAAAAGAAAATAGTTTTAAACAACACGCTTTTTATAGAAAACCTTTTTTTTTATTTATTTTTTAAATTAATGTTTTGTCATCGGTCCTCGATATATCTACAAAGTTTAAAAGAATTCTGACCGTTTGAAGTCAGTCAAAATCACGCCCAAAGGAGTCGGTTACAAACAAACATACAAGTGAAGCTAATATAAAGCGTGTAAAAAAGAAGGAAAGGAGAAAAAATATTTGATTTTATTCACGGATAGGTGAAAGAAAGATGAACAATGTCAGACGTGTGCAAAATACCGCATGTATTCATTTAGGGCGATATATACTATCTATCTTGGGCAGATCTATGTGGAAAAAGCTCACAAGGCCTTTATAATCGAGCATTGAACCCCCAGTGATGAGCTTTGTAATAAACTTTGAAATAATAACACTACAATTTTTTTTATACGATGTTTCTGTTTCTTGAATTTGTTCTAAACAAACTGATATGTGTCATACATATAAACACATTATCATAACAATATAACCACATTACAAATCAAAAAGGAAAACAGCAAATAAATTGCCTCAAATCAATAAAACAACCACAAATATATCTATACTAATATTATAAAGCTGAAGAGTTTGTTTGTTTGTTTGTTTGAACGCGCTAATCTCAGGAACTACTGGTCCGATTTGAAAAATTCTTTCAGTGTTAGATAGCTCATTTATCGAGGAAGGCTATAGGCTATATATCATCACGCTACGACCAATAGGAGCGGAGAACCAATGAAGAATGTTTCAAAAACGGAGAAAATTTATTACTATTGAGAGACGCAGACAAAGTTGCGCGGGTCAGCTAGTCCATTATAAAATGATGTCATTCTTTAATCCTATTTAGATTTTGCTCATGCTAATATTTGTTTGTATATGTCCTAGGCTTGAACCATTTCACGCACGACTAAAATATTATGGCGATCTAATAAATGAGGTATAGCTCGTTGCTTTACACAATTTCGTTCACGCAGGCATGAGTTTCAAGTCGAGGCTTAGTAATTCATAACCTACCTAAAACCAAACCTAAACTGTTTGTCAAACTTTCGTAACTTTGTAAATAGGGAAGATAAATAACAGGGAGAATCTTTTTAAGAGACATGTAATGCAACAAGAAAGGTCTAAAGGATTTCCCTGAGTAGGACTCTGTAATAATTATAGTACTTTATTTTGGTTTATTCCCAGTAGTTCCATGAAGCCCGTTCCAAATGGAACTTTTGCAACCCACTCGTACCATACATGGAACTAGTGGGTTGCAAAAGTTGCCGCCGGTTCGGACCGGCAAATTATATGCAATAGTGCCATGAAGTTCTAGTTACGTAGCTTGTTGTATTATAATTTATAAGACATAAAACCTTTTCCTTGTTTTCTTGTGCTACACAAAATACAGGACTACGGTTAACCTAGATCCAAAGTTTCATTCAAATTCGTCTAGTGGTTTTTACGTGAATCGCACACAACTGAAACACAGACAGACAGACAGACAAGAATTTAAAAAATCACATTTTGGCATCTATTACATCTACGAAGACCACCTGTGCTAATTTATTTATTTATTTTGCATGTACAATATCACCTCTCTTACAGTTTTATTATGCGTGTAGAAAGTCATTTGTTTTTCTAATGTTTAGTAGTTTTCCCAGACTTTCTTTTGTTATTTTCAATAAAACAGTTTATAAAATAATTTTAATTAAATAAATGTCAGCTGTAAAAGTAGTATAAAATTACATGGAACAAGTGGTATATAAATCGCATTTATAAGTTTACATCAGTAGCATGTGGAACTGGATGTATGAAACTACTGGGAATTAACCTTTATTTTGACTAAAAGTTGATGAATTTCTATAGTAATAAACTTGATCACATTATTTATGCTAGTAGGTAAATTGCAGTCGTGTATAGACTCCAATCGATTCATATTCATATTCATTCGTTCGTTATAACGCACCAGTAGCTCTCCTGTTTACATCCAGCTCACAATCACGCATGTCAATTGGATGGGGTACATTTGCGTATATGTATTTATAATATGTTAAAAAAAACATATTCCCACAAATGTTTTTTGTGTATTCCCGGTATCGCATAAAAAAAAGTTTACCTTATATTCCTAGGAGATTAAACTCGATTAAAATAAATATAAATTCTTTATTTTACCAGTTCATCAATAGTAATACCGGGAGGGGATTAGTACTCTCAGGTCCGACGGGAGACTCACCAGGCGATGGTTGCAGTGTTTTGTATCACATATTGCTTGCCAAATTTCAAGACATTGTACCAAAAGTGGTCTTAAAAGAATGTGAAAACTGTCTTGTTGGATCCACGGAATACGTTTTACGCCTGTAGTTTTGGATTCAAAATGAGGGTTAGGCAAGTTACTGTGTTTTTAATGTTCTTAGCAGTATTTATTACCGTGTATACTGCCTCACATAATGCCGTGTGTACCATACCTCTGCCTATCCCTTAAAGTAAGTACAGGCGTGCGTAAATTAAAGGATCTGTAACGAAACCTACAAATGTTGGCCGATCCCTGATTCGTTAGTCGTATGAATATGAATGATTCTAGTGGTTTATGAATGTTCAACATCATGCAGTGTGTGGTTGTGGTTTGAATCAGCAACCATTTAGCGTTATTCTGATAACCAAAATATTATTTAGAGCAATTTACATTTACCAGAAGAAACTTATATTGGCAGTTACATATATGTATTATGATAAAGTTTAATTCTTCCTTTAGTTAATTCAATGCGTTTCGCCATGACTTAGGTTGTCAAGACCGATTGTACCAAAAATGAATTTTGTATTATGACAACTTCAAACTAAGATAAGCTGTTTACCTCTTAAGGGACTTGAAATATATCGTAATTCATTTTTTTGTGTTTTTATTTCTTGGGGCAGGTGATTGAAACCGATATGACTATCATTGTAGACATCACATGGTGCACTCTATATAACTGCACTAATATATAGTGATGTGATATGAAACAAATTCGAGAATTTATTCTTTGTTTTAGGGAGGTAGTAATAGCCCTGTTAGACGCCGGTATGGACCCCAACGTGAGGACTGCAAATGGTACCCCTCTGCACGAAGCGGCTCGTTACGGGAAAGCCTCAGTGGTCCGCGTTCTGTTAACCAAAGGAGCGGATCTTCACGCCACGGATTCAAAGAAAAAGACTGTTTATGACCTTCTCGCGGAGTACCCTGAAGAGGCCCTTAGGAAAGTTAGGAAAGTTATACGAGGTACGTATCTTTTTTCCATGCAGGATATTTACCTTCATTTCGGTAAGCTTTTGTGTGCTGATCTGATTCTGAACTATGATTTCTGGTATTAGAAAATTGTAACTATTTGAAAAGCCGTAGAATTGTTGGAATAGTCCGCAATAACTTTTTACACTCTTTAGATTATCTTGCGCATACGCAATATAATCTAAAGAGTGTAAAAAGTTATATCGATAAATAAAAATAGATATGTAAACAAATCTACTAGAAATATTATATGATAAAAATAAGTTTTTTTTTGGAATGTAGTGTTCATTTTAACTAGCCATAAGTGCTGGAGGCTTCTCCTTAAGAAGGAGGTTTTGGCCTGCTATACCATATATGTCTATGGCCAGACGGGTTGGTATAGCATTTGTGTCAAGTTTTCCTTCTCTTTACAGTGCTATTGTCCTGCGTAGTTTGCTCCTTTTGTAGCTCTTACGACACCTATGGGGTGAATGGTGAATGCATTGGTGACACTAAGTATTCTTAATCCGTCATCACACTTACAAAAATAATAAATATTCCTCCTATATTAAATATTATTAAGTATAGCTGATACTTTCTTGCTGATACTCGTAACAATCTACAATTGATTTCTTTTAAACACGAGACCCAGTCATTTCTTTGTTACTGACTAATATGTTAACTCGAACGAACCGTAAGAAAAACCTTATAATCTGCTAAGGACATTAAACTGTTTCAATGGAATGGTCATTGATAGGACATCACCTCGACACAGTACAGTTTAACATGTTACTAATTTGAATCCCCATAAATTACATATTGTAAATGCGCCATATTAAATCGAGTTTGTCATTTATAATAATTTATCCAATATAAAACTTATAAAGGTTTTTCTCTTAACAGAGTATGTGACAAACGCAGCAAGCTATGACAGTGAAAACGAAGACCTTCCGCCCTTCCCTGTTCCGGAATATAGTCCTACGCCGCCGTTGTGAGTTATACCTTAGACCCAAATATTGCAGTCAACTGCAGAACTTCACTGATACATGAAAGGGGCTTTTTTTTTTGTTGCTGTTTCAATTTTAATGCCGTTAACAGATGGAGTAAATCTAGGGTTAAATGAAAAAAAAAACAATTAAAAATTTGTCTTAGAAAACACTATGAATTTTATAAATTGAACAGTTTAAAAAAGTTCGCCATTCAACATTTAACAAGTTCTGATTTTGACTGTATCTTGTATTATAAACAAATTTCAATTTATTTAGAAATCATTAAGCAAGTTTTGAATTGAGTGGTGATGGGTATCTATTTAATTTCATGTTGTTAGACGCAAAATTTTAAGCAGTAAAACTTCAGGGCTACCAATGCTTGTTTTAACTTTTATATTGTAGTTATGTTTATGTTCAAGATATTTAATATTCAATTTGCTATACACTGCCTGCAATTTATACTAGAACGTTGCTTTTACTTCAAAGAATTTTGCGTCTATTACACTGCGGTACTGTTTCTATGGGATGGATTTCTTTTTAACGTACTAATACGCACTTTGTTCTTTATAAAAATCTGTCCGTTGAAATGCGCAGGCCATTCTAGATTTGAAATATTTTTTCTCTTTAAAGAAAAGGCAGAAATTCAAAGAGCTCGCTAACACTGCCTCAAAACATTCGCTTTTAATTGGAGAGGCTCCTCTCAATTACGACACACGACGTGTCTTCTTTGAACTCTGTTTGCTGTCTTGGAAGCCTTTTTGATACTAATAACGTATGTTTTTCTCTTTTGATTTATTGATTTGGAAGAGTCTTATGGTCTTTTATATTAAGGCGGCCTTGCAAATTTAACAAAGTAAGTACAGTAGCCTACCTTCTGTCAGTTTAAAAACATTAATAGCTGGACTGAAGTGAACTGAAGTCATTGATTAAATTGGTTAAAATAAAGTAATGAAACTTATATCTAAGTAATATAGTTACATATTAGATGGAGGGAGATAGTAGCTTCGTTAATAAAGTCTTACCCGGTCTTCAAGAGACAGATTTTTACACAAAAACTTTGAATGCAGGTTGCCTCATTAAAATCTTCCGACCCTTTGATTTTTTCACAAACGGCCAGGTGAGACGTCTGTCATGAGAAAAATATCTCCCCACCGACGCCCTTTGATGGCGAAATAAATACTCAAGGATGAGCACTTTTAGCTTTAATGAAAATGTGGACGCTAGACATTTAAACCTATTAAAAATTAAAAGACAGGTCCGGCACTAATACCTACCTTAAAATTCTAACATCAGTCAAACATGTTCAGAATTTTATTTTTTTTCCCTTCAATACGTACGACGTATTCACTTATAATATTCCAACCAAAACTTTACGAAGTTACTTATTTTATATTTACAGATGTAATAAATTTAGCCCTAAGCTTCCTGCTCATAGACCGCTTCGCACTAAAGCTTCGTTAACTAACATAAATGAGGATAAACAAAGAGACAACATAACTAATTCCCAACCCCATAGTAAATTTCCACCATCACCTAAAAGTCCTTCGCGATCCCCTGTCAGTGAGACACCCAATGAAGATTTTAGACACAGATCTAACACGTTTCAGGACAAAGCTAGCAATAATAAACAGTTGAAAATTTTAGGAGATTCTATAAAATCTAATGCCCCGACTGCGTTGATGTATGACCATCAAAATCAAGTTATTTATGAATTGGCAAAAAAGATTAACACTCCAAGTTCTGAGGAAATAGGCGTAATAGGATCACAACCTGAAAAAGAAACTGTGTATGCTAATTTAAACAATAATACACTAATAGATAACAGCTACGATAGAAAGCGATGCGATACATTAGAACTACCAAGCAATATTTCTTCCGAGGCATTCGAGTCGGGCTCTATGAAAAGAAAACCTAAGCCTCTTCCAAAGCCGACGGGTTCTCCTGGTGACGACGAAACCGATTTGTATGTCAACGAATGTTTTAAAAAAGTAGAAGAAGGTATTTATGAGAACGTTACTCAAAATATTAGTGATGACGAAAAGGTTAAGAACGCATATTCTGATGGTCCAGAACTAGATACATCCCCAACTTATTTTCCTATGATGGGTTTAAAACGACTTCATCACCAACGAAGTACCATCAACGTTTGTGGTCATAGCTGTGATAACATTGAGACGTACGATGATGCCGCTTATGTAAAGATGGAAGGAAAGATGGTACGTGACCGAAGATTGTCCAATCCTGTTTACTTATCTATGGAAAGGTTAAAGACGGACAGTTTTCACCTTAAAGGTGATGTTGGATGTCTTTATGGATCTAATGAATATTTATACATTTACGAAATAAATCCTAAAACTTTGAGAGGTAACGCACATCCTTTTATAAGAAAGAAAGAAAGAGCTTCCCCGATGCCTTGCTATTGTCACGAAGATCCTAAAAAAGAAGAAAAAATGTTTCAAAAGAATAAACCTAAACAATCTAGCGCCGGCCAACTTGTATTTTATAGTTGTGAAGATATCTATGTGCCTATGAACCGGGAAGACATTTATTCGTCTTTAAATGATTTGAAAAATGAAAATATGCAATTTCAACGCAAACAAAGCCGGGACGAAGCAAAGGCAAATAGACCAGTTAGTCCAGAGAATCTCAACATGGCATACCAATCAAATACGTTAGATTCAAGAACGCGTTCTTTGCTTAGGAAAAAAATGAGCCAAGTTAAACAACTTTTAACCGATTTTTAATAAACATTAAGTTTATTATAAATTTATTATTTGTTGTCCATTTATTTTTATTTTAAGTTTGTGGTGGTGGTAAAATTTAATCATATTAACACATAATTCATTGCAAGTAATACTTAACACTAAACACTTCTTATTAAGTTAACTTTATTTTATTTTTCATTTTATTATTTGTCGCTTTATGTGTTTTACAGGAAAACGTCAGAGACCCAGAAAAATACTAACAAATATGATAGCTTTTTATCTCCACCTTCATCTTCTTTTAATAAACACCATCCTCAAAGTTTTGTCAAAAAGCTTGCTTCGAAATGCTTGGGCCTAAAAGCAAAGTTCAATTCAGCTCCTAATATTTCTAACAGCTCAGCAGCGGAAGTCGATGTTAAATCTAAACAACCAGATAATAGGAATAGTACAAATACGTTGCTAATAGGAAACAGTAAATTCTTTAAAATGCTGTCGAAAAAGGAGGAGTCCGGTGAAGTAGTATGCAATGATGAATTCGACACAATATCGTTAGATCGTCTAGGTACACTAAATAGAGATTCAGTTGTGAATAGGAGCAATAGGAGCTGCCCCGGATTTAAAACGTCACTTCCCAATATTTCAGAACATAACGAACTTAGCGATTCTCAAGAGTCTATCCCTGATTCTGTCGTGATAACTGAATTAGACTGTGGTACAATAAATAGTGATATAAATGAAGCTGTTAACTGTACTGCAAATTTTAACATTTTCGAACCAAGAGAAATCTCTAATAGGAAATCGGTAATATCTACAGCATCTACGGAATCACGGCACCTAGTTAATGAATGCTATGAATCTTATGATGTTTATAAAAGTCAATCAGAAAGTGTCACCACAAAGTTAGTACCTATACCACAGCCTAGACCTACAGCAGTAACAGTAAAAAATACAAATGACGACACTATTTATGAAAACATTGTGGTGGAAGTTAAAAGTATACCTAAACCAGCAACCAGAATACACATTCCTGTAAAATCAGTTGATGAAGTGCAAAGGCAGACGTTATATGAAAATATTGATTTACTTCAAAAGAAGCAACCCGAACCCCATAAAAGAACGCTAGTCCCACAAAATTCGAACTCTAACAGTCTAAATGAGAACGCCTCGCCTATTGATAGTCGTTCTTCAACAATGTCATCTGACTCAATGTTAGATGAAACTAATTTAGAAGACATATTCTTATCTGAAAAATCAAAATCTTTCAGGCATCGAAAGACAGCTTCCTTTTCTAGTATAAAGTTACAACTGGGGAGAACGCAGTCAATTGCGTCAGATGCTTCTGATGTAACAGAGGCAAGTGCTTTAGAGAATGTTGACTGCAGTGACGATATAAATGAAAAGCCTATTTATTTATCGATGACTGGTACATTACCGAATAAAAAAACAGACGACGTTTCTAAAAAGAAAGTTCTTTTCAGACATAAAACATTTACAAATATTGAAGTAGATAGAAACTCGGTGAAGGTTAAAGATTTACCAGAATGGAACAATGAGTTTTTGAAAGAAACCTTAGCACATTATCACATAAGGGGAACAGGACACTGTATATACAATGCTCCTACAGTCCAAGAATTTATTTACATTTTTAACAGAGACACCTTATATAGTGATGTTCCCCCTTTCACTAAAGTGCCTAATACTAAAAGAGATAGCGAGTTTGAAACGGCTATATGTTTTTGTAGGCCTCGACCTCCTAAGTTCCATAGTAGTGCTGAAGACCTTATTGATAAAACGAATCAAGTTGAAGATGGGAAGGTCCTATTAGACGTCGACGCGATTAAGAATAGACGTGAAATTTTGTCATCATCGTTTAAATGTTATTGTGTTTCTAAATCTTGCACATTACATTCTACTAGACGCGATTCGCCATCAGACTTTGTAGTTAAATTTTCTGCTATAAAAAAAAGTATTTCTACACCTGATATTACTTTAGATTTGTCCCCTTATTCGACAGCATCCAAAACGATTTTACCTAAAAATAAATCCGTCCCTAGTTTAGAAGATCCCTATGCGGTTGTAAGCGTCGAAGAAATTATAGCGAGAAACACAAAGCAGTGCGAAAATGCAAAAACACCCGATAGTCCTGTGTATACTTTAATGTCACAAACATCTACAGTGTCATCGACCACTTCTGCACGTCCTTACTCCATCAAGGATATTGCAGAAGTGATATCATTAAGCGATCATTCAACATCGACAACCACTACTTTATCTCGTGCTTCTGGTGTGCAATTGCCTATAAGGAAATCGAGTTCCTCGGAATACTCCGGTCATTGGTCTCTACAGTCGTGCAATTCCAACGTCACTATTCAATCTGATGCATCATTCAAAACTTGCCTCGAGGAATCTTCGGATGACTCCGACGGTACCTTGCACTCAGACGCTGGAAGTACAGATTCCGATAGTTCGGACGCTGAGACAGTCAAGTCTGATGAAACCACGGCAAAAAGACCATGGGTTCATAGTGACTCTTTCAGATTTGGAAGTAAATCTAAACCAGTAATAGATGTTATCGTAGAAGAGAGTCAAAGCTCTCCCGATGATAAATCTGAGTCGTCGAAATACGAAAGCGGTATTTGTTTGGAGGGGTCTGTAAGTTCCTTGTCTGAGTGCGAGGACGATAGTGGTATTCCGAGGGTCGATGCGGATGTGTCGCTTGGTTGTGCTTCGCTTGAGCGGGTTTCGGGACTGGTCGGGGGTGTTCGCAGCGGGTCGGGACGTCGGCGATGGGACGAGGCGGAGGGAACAAGCGAAGGCGATGCGCTGAGTGTATCCAGTGCAGCATCTAGCTGTGCACCACTGCACCTGTCGCATCATCATCCTTACAGTAAAGTTTCGGTATGTATATAATATTTCATATTTTCCTACTAACATTTTGATTCTATAGTGTATTGCCATTTCTGTATATTTCGTTATAAAACATTTATTTAGTATGTATTTTGTACCTTTTTGGTATGATAAACTAACAATAGGTATATTATGATTTATGATATATAAAAATGTCTCAATTTTTTTTTTGTTGTTTTAATCATTACATCTAAGTATTAAAATGAACTAAAAAGAATTAACCTTAAATATAATGTCGTTAGGCAAGATGGAGTCTATATTTATTGCATGGTTGTCATAAAAAGACTACTAATTGTTTGTGGGAATATTACTCATAATTGAACACAATCAAGTGGCGAATTAAAATTCTGTTACGGCATTGCATCGTAACAACAAAGATCTTAACCATTGTTTATACTCGTAGAGGAGTATTTCTTTAACTATTTGTGACTCGATCGTTTAAATAATATGTTTTCAAGCACTTAGATCTTCATGATAAATTGGAGGTGGGTTTTTAAAAAGTGCAATCCGTAAGGCCAATCCTGGTAATAAAAGTTCGGTAAAAATTTAGTTCCGATCAACTATCGATCTCACAACTGTCATAAAAGGTATTTTCGTAGTAAAGTATTCAACACTCAACATTGACTTTATTGTGATTATATCGTATTGTGACCAAAACATGAATCGGTAATGTGCTAACCTTAGTAATACTTTACTATTTTACTACGAAAATATATTTTATGACACTTGCGAGATGGAGAGTTTATCGGAACTGAATTTTGACCGAACTTTAATTACCAGAATTTGCCTTCTGGTCTTCAAAGTCCGTTGATGCGTAGGTATAGAATTTACTACACTTGAATTCGTATTGAATTGTACCGTACTATTAAATGAATAATATAAACTATTAGCAGTACCTCCTCATCGGTTCTTTTGTCCATCCACCTGATATAGTTCTAACAAGTATAAATAATAATAAATACCCCCGACATATGATAGATAAACCTCGGGTAATCTTCGAAGGACTAAACAGATGTTATTGTATTAAAGCGAAGCTAGCTTTTTAACGATTAAAATTTATGAAAACATTCTTAATAGTTTTAACTTAGTGATAAAACTTACTTGTTGGTAACGGTGTTTTACTGCTTCTGAAATCAGCGATAAATGAAATTATTAATTTTTCAAAATTCACTTTTAAATCGTTCTTATTATATAAAAGTTTAACACATATGCTTTACCTAAATAGAAGTTAAACGTTACCCTTTACAAAGATTATATTTTTGTTGTTTGTCCTGTAGTAAAGTGATAAAGTTATAATTAATTCGAGTTACGCCTTTGACCTGTTGCACGATTACTATTGTCACGCAAAGTCAACCATTATAAAAATGAGGAATTGTAGTCACGTTATGAGCTATCACGAGAATCTATAAATAAATAATGTGGCGTTGAACACAGTTTAATGGATATATTCAGTTAGATTTTATTTTAAGTTCAAAGTCCTCCATACTAAATTACTTATTTTCGTTAATTCAACGCATTGTGTGGCAAGCAATCATATGGCCGATATAATCGATAAAAAATATTCGGCCCTTATAAGCATTGGAAAAAAAGATAGTTTAAAAAAAACTAAAAAACACGCTTTCTAAAAAAAAAACAAATTAAAAAATAGATTTAAAAAAAAAAAGCGTTGGGTGCCTGTTGTCAATAGTAAAAAGCACCCCACGCTTTTTTCAAATTTAATTTATAATTATAATTTAAATTATAACTTTTTTTTTTTTTTTTAAATTAGTGTATTGTCATCGTTCCTCGATATATCTACAAAGTTTGAACGAATTCTGACCGTTTAAAGTCAGTCAAAATCACGCCCAAAGGAGTCGGTTACAAACATACAAATAAACATACAAGTGAAGCTAATATAAAGCGTGTAAAAACGAGCAGAGTCTCTACCATGTAGTATAGACTCCGAACAGAGTAGTAGACTCGTAACAGGCGTACAGTCTACTGTGACGGTTTTATGGTTATAGGATGTAGTAATAAAAAATAATCGTTCTTATTAACGAATTTATTGATGTGGGAGTCACTTACCATCAGGTGACCCTAGATCAGCTTGTTTGCCACATATAAAAGAAAGAAGAAAAAAACACAAATATAGCTTTTATATGTAGTTATTAAGTTAGTTGAAATGAAACGTTCAAATCTGATAATGCTTGTGATGTCAGTGTCTTAAAAAAAACAATATCAATACTAACATTATAAAGAGGTAAAGTTTGTGAGTTTGTATGTTCAGAGCACAGAAGAAGAAATAATATTATTTATTCTGTGGTTCGGGAGAAATAAAATTCCTTCACTGTTAAAAAGAAAAATATATTGAAAGATATTATCCAACCAAAATACAAAAAGCAAATTTTAAATAAATTGTCAGAGAAATCCTTACAAGAAACAATACAATGACTCATAGTTAACCCATATACCGAAAATAAACGATTTCAGAGTTATGACGTCTTAGTTTCGAATAAAAATCGAATAAAAAGCACGTGAGACTGAAAGTTGTGTTATTTTGTCCACATGTTAGTTTGAACGACGTTTCATTTCATATGACGTACGAATTAACTTCTTGCCATATTTGTGTGACATTTATCCTTTGCGTTTAATTGACAATTGCCCTTAAAATTGATGGATAGGGCCTTGAAAATGATAATAATAATTTAAAAACGTCAGTTACAAATACAGGATAACTTTAAACAGTGGTCCCACTCCTATGTTACGAGGAACATTGTTCCGTTTATGGGTACTAATTCTAATCGTAAATGGTGTATCAGGCAGATGCAGGTTTAGGGTTTGTTTAAACCTAACTCTAAAGGGGAAAAGTATATTATCATATTCCAAATTTCTTCGCCATTCCTGAATATATTTTAAAACTATGGTGAACAACATGATTAGACAAAATATAAAATAAATCTATGATTCTCATTATTTTACAGAGATAAAGTACATTTCTGGGTTGCGATATGAATCGCAACTATATCACCCGTCAGCTCTTCTCATTATTCAATTTTGTAATTTATTCCTGTTGACAAGACCTTCCGTCTAAGCCGCCACTTATCTATATTTAGTCCCACATATCTACAGCATTGTTCGTAATATCTTGTACATCTTGCCATGTGGCATGCGGTACGCGATGAGACGCAAAGAAATTGGATGGTCAGTCGTGCCCGCCGTCGCGTATCAGACCAGCGCTTGCGTTCGCAGCGTGGTCGCTGAACATCGATTTGATAATCGAAGTTTTAAAAATAAAATACAAAAGTGATTAAAGAATGTGTCTGTTTTAGTATTTCTGTGTTAAGTGATTCTTGTGTAGTGGAAATGTGTGTTTGGGTGTGACTTGTGTACGCCTGTGAATAGTAAATTGTACTCTTACGTAAGTTCCATTTTTTGAGCAATTAAAAGTATTTAGCATTTATTTTGGCATAGACACGGCATTGGAATTTTAGGAATCGGTAAAATGCACTAATTAGAAACATTTCACTTTATTTATGTTCATACTGTTAAGACAGAGATTTCGTGGGAGAGTCGTAACACATATACCTAAAACCAACATGCTTCAACATACTGCAATATTTTAGGCGGTTATCAGTGTCATCATCAATCATCAACAGCCTATACTAGTCCACTGCTGGACATAGGCCTCTCCTTAGAAAGGAGGTTTTGGCCTACTATACCACGCTGGCCAGACGGGTTGGTACAGGGTTTGTTTCAAGTTTTCCTTCTCTTTGCAGTGCTGTTGTCCTGCTTAGTGTTGTTGTCCTTTAACTAAGCAGTGTCATACACAATACTAAATCAACAATAGTATCATTTACTTCTTGCTAATGTTATGATTCTGTGGGAGTTTTAGCTACCCTAAACACTAGTTAGCCATCTAACTAAACTAAACATACCTCTACAATCTACTGAACTAAACTATTTTAGTTCAGTAGATTGTAGAGGTATGTTTATCTATGCTCTAGAACCCATAGGACAAGCTCTGCTTTGTTTTGATTTAGATAGTGCTGTGGGATATGTCAAGAATATTATTATACATATATTTATTTATATATAATATATATAGTATATATATAATATATTTAAATCTCGTACAGATTGATTTCATTTAATTGCAAAGGATAAAGAACAAGTTATTCTAACTAAATATGACTTTATTATTAGAGATAATCAAAACAAAGTAATGAAGCGAGTATACTAGTAATAATATATACAATACACAATTTGTAATACATTAACGATGTAGTAGAACTCCGTGTCAAGGTTCTACTAACCCAAATTTTGTTTTTATGAACAGAAATAACTTGTTACAATTTAAAATTAAATGCAGATTGAAGCAATGCGTAACGTAATACTGGTGTAGCAATTGCTTAGACCCTACCTAGGTTTTATTCTGCCTTAGAAATAAATAAATAAACACAAAGATTATATATTTCTGCAACATAAAAAGTCGGAAATTAGGTTCATTAACAATCGATTCTGGATGTTTAAATAATTCTAGAATGTCTTGTGGTAAGGCTAGTACCGTTTTTTCTGCCTAGAATGCGTTTTGATTAGAGATATTTCTTGTTCCCCGCCCTTAGTATGTAATAATATTACTTAGTACTGCTTTTTCTCTTCTCGATGCCTTTAACGTTTGGAAAAGCCTGTATTGGTGGCAACATCTATCTGAAATAACTGTTTTGTTGACAACTTAATAATTATAAAACATCAATATCGAGGTTAAATCTAAATACTATTTATTATCAATCTCTCTATGTAATTCGTGGTATTTTTCTCCCAATCATTGATACGAATCGTTGGATAGTACGGAAATATCATGTATTTGGCACACCTCCAGTGCCACAGTTAGTGTTTACCGGATGCTAGTATTGACATTTCACCGCAGGAAATATGTACAATTTTTTGTTTTAGTTATTTAGATTATCTCCCCTCCCCTCTATCAAATACTCGTGTGTTGCCGCCCTCAGAGT